TTGTTTTCCATCCTTTAACTTTGAGTCTGTGTTTGCTCTGACCATTCAGATTAGTTTCTTGTAGGCAGCAGAATGTTGGGTTCAGTTTCCGAATTCATTCTGCCACTGTGTCTCTTGATTGGTGCATTTAGACCATTGATGTTGAGAGAGATTATTGTTAGAGAGTTTTGTGCCATCTTTCTGTAGGGACTTGTTGTGCTTGTAGGGTGTTTTCTTGTCTTATAGAAGCCCTCTTAGTGGTTCTTTCAAGTTTGGCTTTGTCTATGAAGTTCCTGAGCTGTTGTTTATCCATGAAATAGTGTATGGTTCCTTCCGAGTTTGAATGAGAGTTTAGCTGGATAGAGTACTCTTGGTGAGGCGTTCATTTCATTGAGTTTTTTCACTATATCCCCCCATTGCCTTTGGGCTTGGAGGGTTTCCTCTGACAGGTCTGCTGTAAATGTACAGGGTGCTCCTATGTATGTGGCATCCTTCTTCAACCTTGCTGCTTGCAGGATCATTTCTCTATCCATATCATCCATCATTCTGACTCTGATGTGTCTTGGAGTCTTTTTATTAGGGTCTCTTTTACTTGGCACCCTTCGGGCTCCTTGGGTCCGGATGCCTGCATTCTCCAGCTCTGGGAACTTTTCGGCAATGATATGTTTAACTGTGGCTTTTTCATTGGGGTTGCCTCCCTGTCCTTCTGGTACTCTGATGATTCTTACTTGCTCCTCTTGGATTCATCCCCTAGGACTCTGATTCACCCCAGGGCTATTTTGAGGTCTTTTCCCATGGTCTGTTGTTGTCTGTAAGCTTTCTGGTGCTCATCTTCAAGCTTACTGATTCTGTCCTCAGCTGTAGCCATTCTACTGGTGAGGGCACTCACTGAGTTTTTTATTTCATCTATCAAATCCTTTATTCATGACATTTGTTTGCAGCTTTTCTATTTCTGCTCTCATTTCTTCCGGTATTTTGTTGGCTGCCTGTTCCACTGTTTCATTCAAGTCCTCTTTTAATTTCCTGGATGTCTGTTCCACTGTTTCTTTGAGTTCATTGAACATCTTCAACATTTTGATTCTGAATTCCTTATTGGAGAGACTGTATTTGTGAGTAGCCCCTGTTGGGGGCCTCTGGACCTTTTTCTTCATCTTCCCCTCGTGGCGTGGTGGGGATCTGTGCTGTTTCTTCATGTTGTGGTGGTAGTATGAAGGTGGGAACCACAGTTCACTATGAGTTTTCCCTCTTGGTTAATTTGGGGATTCTGGGTGAGCTCGGTCTAGTGGTCGCCTTTTTCCCCTTCAGGAGTTGTGGCTTCCTCTCATGTTCTCCTCTGTGGCCTCTGGTGGAGCTTCGGGGGATGTAGTCCTTTACATTGGACTTGTACACGTCTACGGGTATTGTGGTGCAACTGGGATGAGCTAGTGGATTATTGGCCTGATGTATTTGAGATTGCCGAGACATTCTCCCCCGAGTTACGTGACGGAGGTCAAGATATGAGTCCAAATTGCTAGGAAAGGGGAAAATAACTGCTGCCCTCAGAGTAGGCCATGCCCCCTATCCACGCCCCCTAGCTCAAAGGCCAGGCTCCCTGGCTCAGAGGCCACACCTACAGGACCAGGCTGACTGCTGGTTCGGCTGGGACTAGGGGAGCTAGAAACAGTAGTTGGGGGTTGGAAGGTGCTGTTTCTCTTTAACTCTTTGGTGTGCTAATCTTGTTACTGTCATAGGTTACTGTCACAGACAACGAAGAAATTCCTCCAGAAATCAGATCCTCTTCTGAATGCATCCATTCTCCACCTACCAACTAATCACGATCACAACCATCCTGTTGTTCATCGATTGCCTCGAGCAGGCCCCAGTAACGTCTCCTTCATCCTAGCCCTGAGATTTTTTAAAAGTGCCATATTAAAGGCTCTTTCAGGGTTAGGAGAATGAGCCCCATCATTGTTACTGGTATTGGGCATATTAGGTACACCACGGGGAGTTTGCCAGACTCTGCCCTGTGGGCAGGTTACATCTGGTAGCCTACCATTTTGTCCAAAGTTAGAATGAGATAATAAGGTGTATGTGGCTGCGCACTTCTGGGATCTAGGTTTTATAATCTCTGGGTCTTGGCTGCTGATGGGATTACACGGCGCCAGGGGGCCAGTTGGTGGGTGTGACCCCTGCCTACTGGAATATGGAGGATCTGGGTGGAGGATGCTCAGCCCCGATCGAGCAGGCTTGGAGATCTCAGCCCCGGGACCCGTATGCCTTTGTTCCTCTGCTGGTACCTTCATGCATGCGGAGAGCGGTCTCAGCATGGTGGTGGCTGGTTCTGGAGGTCTTTGGCTGCCAGAGCCCTGGTCGGGACGGGGAGGGAAACTCAACCCACTCCCCTCCAGGGGCCCTGGCGAGGACAGCCAGGCGCGGGGGCAGGAGACTCTGCGCTGTTCTCTTCCGGGATCTGGGTTTTATAGTCTCTGGGTCTTGGTCGCTGATGAGATTACACGGCGCCAGGGGGCCAGTTGGTGGGTGTGACCCCTGCCTACTGGAATATGGAGGATATGGGTGGAGGATGCTCAGCCCCTATCCGAGCAGACTTGGAGATCTCAGCCCTGGGACCCGCATGCCTTTGTTCCTCTGCCCGGTACCTTCATGCGTGCCAACTAATACTTTTACCAACTAATACTTTTATTTATTAGCCCTCAGTTTCATATTGTTGAATCTGGACAGATGTCTAAGTATAGGTTAATGGATTAGCCAGAGTATATGTCAATGTGCAATGTTGAGAAAATCTTTGTTTTGTTTTGTGTGGGGGCAACACTTGGTGATGCTCAGGGGTTACTCCTGGTTCACTGCTCACAAAAATCACTCCTGTTGGTGCTTGGGAAACTGTATAGTATGTCGGCAATGGAATTCAGGTCATTTGTGTGCAAGGCAAGTCCCCTACCCACTATACTATCTCCCTACCCGCTGTCCTATCTCTCTGGCCCCTGAAATAACATTGGAGATCCCAAAATTGGGGAAAACAACTCTTATTAGATGTGTATTTGCCTTCACTTACTTCCTAATACTTCCAGCTCTACCTAGGGAACCATACAAAGTTTCTGACTTCTTGAAGGTCAAGTGTAAAATTGTGCACTTGGGTTTCTTTTGGTGTGGGGGGCGGTGGGGTCAAACCCAGCAATGCTCAGGGGTTACTCCGGTCTCTGTGCTCAGGGATCACTCCTGGTAGTAATTTGGGATCATCTGAGATGCTAGGGATCCAACCCAGGTCTGCCATATGCAAGGCAAGTGCCCAATTGCTAGACTATCTTTCCAACCAAACTTTACTGAGAATTAAAAGTTCTTTTGGTGGTGGTGAAATTTAGAGGGGGAGTTAAGGGATGTGAGGAAGAAGCATGGACTTGCAGGGAGTCCCAGACTGGGAACACAAGATCTAGGCATTAGGCATATTTAACACTTTTTGTTTTTCTATTATTCACTTAAAAATGTTATTAGTATTTTTATTCTGAATTTAGATTATTTGGTTTAGTTATTCTTTGGGGCTGGAGCGATAGCACAGCAGGTAGGGCGTTTGCCTTGCACGCAGCCAACCTGGCCGACCTGAGTTGGATTCCTCCGCCCCTCTCGGAGAGCCAGGCAAGCTACCAAGAGTATTTCGCCCACACAGCAAAGCCTGGCAAGCTACCCGTGACATATTCGATATGCCAAACACAGTAACAAGTTTCACAATGTTACTGGGCCCGCTCGAGCAAATTGATGAACAGCTGCAGGACAGTGATCAGTGATCAGGTATTCTTTAAATAACATTATTATTATTATTATTATTATTACTTTTTAAGTAACATTATTAAAGTTGAAGTAACATGATTACAAAATACGAATGCTATTGGTTTCCATGTACAAAGTGAACTTTACCTGGACCACCGCCGAAGTGCCGAGACACCACAGTTCATACATCCCCTCTAATCTGACTCTTTCCCCGCCCCCCCAACAAATCCCCAGGTTTGATGTTCATCTTATGAAAGGTGAGTCGTAAATGTTGTTATGCCCATCTCTGAGAAGAGAGTAATAGATTTGTTAAAAATTGATTTTAAAAGTAACATTATCTTTGTGTAAGAAGCAAAGTGATGTGATATGCCCAATTGCTGATAGCGAAGCAGATTCATAATATCCCGGCATGAAAACACTTTTTTTGGTGGTATGTGTGTGTGTGTTGTGTGTGTGTGCGTTGTGTGTGCGCATGTGCTCGTGCATTCGCCATACAGCAGTGCCCAAGGGATACTCTCAGCAGTTCTTCGAAAATTATTTTATGGGGGATTGAACCCACACCTCCCACATGAAAAGCATGTGTTGCAACCTATTGATCTATTTTCCTGGGCCCCTAAAAGGACACTGCGGAAGTTATCAAGTAAACTTACTATGTGGAAATATATAAGGGCACCTGAGTGCTTTGTGGATTTGAAGGGTTAAAATTCAAAGTAGGTTTGGAGGTGGGGATGCTCTAAGAATCCATCATTAGAAGGACTGAGTGGCAGCCTATGCTTAGAAGACCAGAATTTCTCAGGCTCTAAGCAAAACGTGCATAAGATAGTATGACTTGTACTTGCCTATAAAATTATAAAAACACATGCAATAAGGTAGCTACACCAGTCCTATAAAGAAAAGGGCAACTGATATTTCTTGTGTATAAAATCTGTTTGCAAACTGCATTGTGTGGCTGAGTTCTCATCTGGAGGACCAACACCTTGCCCAGAGTGTGGCACTCAGTTGTGACCATGAATGATAGCTCCCTTTCCCACTTCCATCCCTTTCTTCCATTCCTCTTAAACCTTCAGGTCATTCATATACTGCGAAGGTAATGATGTGGCTGAGATTCTGACTTTTGCCAAGGGAAATAGCTCATGGAAATATAGGGAGTTGAACTCTGAATAAAAATAATGCACTCCATAATCAGCTTCAAATGTACCATCAGTGATTAAAATAAAAATGAAACATAAATTAAAAACCTATCAGCAGGCAATCCAACTCACCGCAGGGTGTACTACTGGTAAGACATTCACTGTCACAACGTAGTTTGACTGTCTTGTAGACAACGTCAATATTATTTTTAAATTGGCAGAGGCAGCAGGTTAGATGGTTAGGTAAGATCCTATGAATGGAAACACAGAGAATTAAGTGCAGAGTCAAGAGGTTACTTTAAATAGGTAGAAGAGGCAGTCAAGGCCACTGAGCAGCTATTGAAAAAGTTCCTGAGAAACATGGATGAGGTGTTGCTCAAACTCTGAGGTGGTGGGAACCCAACTGGGAGGTGATGCATGCAAAGCGTGTACTATTGCTCCAGCCCTCAGAAAACTGAGTTTTGTTTTTTGGTCATATCTGGTGGTGCTCAGGGGTTGCTCTGGGCTCTTGGCTCAGGGATCATTCCTAGCAGGCTCGGGAAACCATAGGCAGTGCGAGAGGCTGAATGTGGGTTAGCCACATGCAAATCAAATACCTAACTCACTATCCTATCTCTCCAGCTCCCAGATAACAATAAAAAAACATCAGTTACAACCTGGGGTGTTATTTCTCTATGGAGTTATCAGTCGGGGGCGCAGAGATAAGCAACATTCATGGAATGAGGTAGCGTGGAGGGCCAAGAGTTCTCTCAGACAAATGGCATTAATCAAACCCAGCAACCTTCTTTTATTGTAATACAGTACACTAGGGGATGCATCACCAAATCCATGTGGACAAAAGGCTATTGATCTTGCTCTGTCGATGATTAACCTCCCATCCCCATGTTTCAATCATCTACATTTCCGTCTAGACAGGATGTCCCCTCTAACTTTGCCTAAACAAAGCATAGCATAATCAATCAGTGTCAAGAAGAAGCTGCATCATGACATGCTGACCCCTGCCCAGTTCAATCAGAGTTCCAAGCTGCTTCCAGCATGACACTGAAAGCAAGGCAGTGTCTGTAGGAACTTCCTCATGACTCTGGTCGGGCTCCAACATCTCCCCCTTTTTGTTTTGCAGCCAGCTTAGCCTTCATGACGACATGTACAGCGTGTTGTTGTTGGGCTATTCTGTTTTGTTTTCTGAATTTTTGGCAGGCTATGTAAAAAAGAAACAACAGAACAATAAGTACAAACATACTAATAAACCCATCACAAGGGCTAGAATATAATCCTTAGGATTTAGTTGAGTGATCCCATCCAACAATCCACCCCCAATGGTATCAGGTCCCCAGACTTGCAAGTGGGCCTGAAATACACAGTGAATGTTAGTTTGCAACTCTATGATTTTGTCGGTCATATTTTTTATGGTTTAACAAATGCTTTTTAACCTTTTCCCATGGAGATTTAGACTCATAATAAGGTACAGGAGTTATACAAATGCAGAAGTATTCCAATCACATTTTAGAGTGCGTTGTCTTCTTAAACTCGGTAGCTGGTCACCGAGTAGGGTAACAGTTCGTGTAACATCGGACGATTCCTCTTGTAATCCTGCATCAACTTGTCACTGGGTTGTCCACAGTCTCTGAAAGTCCTGATGCCCTTTCTTTCTTTCTTTCTTTCTTTCTTTCTTTCTTTCTTTCTTTATTCTTCTTTTTGCTTTTCGGGTCACACCTGGAGATGCACAGGGGTTACTCCTGGCTCTGCACTCAGAAATTACTCCTGGCAGTGCCCAGGGGAATATATGGGATGCTGGGAATCAAACCAGGGTCAGCCACATGCAAGGCAAATGCCCTACCTGCTGTGCTATCGCTCCAGCCCCCTCGTGCCGTTTCTTAACAAACTCAGCAGTCTGAGATCCTTGCCTCAATGCAATACAAGCCGTTGATGCTGTAGCAGTGATGGCAACGAGTCCCATGATAACAGCAATTACGAGGCCTACAAACCTCTTTGTGTGTGGTGCCAGGTGAGTGACCAGCCGGTGAAGAATGTTGGTAGCTGGACTGTCTTCCCACAAGCGGTTAAGCCACACAGGCATCTAGACCCCCATGCAAGCTCTAAGAAGATAGATGCTTTCTTCTGCTGTGAGACTCACAGAGTTAAGAATACAAGTGAACATAGAGCAGTCACTGCAAGATATTACCTCTGCTACTTTATCCCAGCTAATTCTCCCTTTCAGCATGGCATATGGCAGTGGGACACAAGCCTGTATATAGCGGGTAAGATTTCTATCAAAATGTAAAGTACGTTTTGTTCCAACATTGTTATGTTGGATAAAACTGTCCGGGCTGTCATGTATCCAAAGGAATTCCCTATTTTCCATAGATGATTTTGTTTCTTATGCCCAGGAAGGAAGGGTGTAGGAGGCGGAAAGCTACCTCCGCACCCCATTATGCCAATATTCACTGTATCACTGTCATCCCCTTGTTCATCGATTTACTCAAGTGGGCACCAGGAACGTCTCCATTCGTCCCAGCCCTGAGATTTTAGCAGCCTCTCCTTACTCATCTTTCCCAACATATTGGAGGCTCTTTCTGGGTCAGGGGAATGAGATCCTTTATTGCTACACTTTTGGCATATCGAATATGTCATGGCTTGCTTGCCAGGCTCTGATGTACAGGTGGACTCTTGGTAGCTTGCTGTGCTCTCCAAGAGGTATCTATCTTATCTATCTATCTATCTATCTATCTAGATAGGTAAGTTGTTGCTTTCTGTCTGAACCCCATCAAATCTGGTGTGGCAATTATGGAGAATGGGTAGGAAGTGTCTTGTGATATGTCGCAGCCGTGTGGTCCAGGAATATGTTCACTCATGTGAGGCTCGGCCCAAGCAAGTAGGGAGTGGCCTGGAGCGTGGCTGCGGTTGGGTTGTGGAGGTCAGTTGCTGGGGCTGGGTCCCTTGGGGCGGGGAGGGCTCCCACTCGTCCCCCTCTGGGGCATCCTGCGTGAAAAAAGCCTGGTGCAGAGTCTGGTGTCATGGTTATGGGGTCCTCATTTTATGCTCCCTTCTGGAGGGTGGCCGATGAGAAGATTATCTGGCACAAGCAGGGTGTGGCTTATCGGTGTGAGCCGTGGGTCACCGGAGACTGGAGGAAGCAGGCAGAGGATCTCTGCTCCTGGCTACCGTTTAAGCCCGGAGTCCAAGGTCATAAAGTTCTGCATTACCTGGGTTCCGTAGGACTTCACTCATCCGTGAGCTTCAGCCCGAGCATATGGAAAGTGGCCTGAGCATGGCAGCAGTTGGGTAGTGGAGGTCACTGCTGGGGCTGGGTCCCTTGGGGCACCCCAAGTGAAAACAGCCTGGCACGGAGTCCAGTGGCATGGTTATGGGGGCCTCATTTTATGCTTCCTTCTGGAGGAACAGCTATGAGTTCTGGAGGGTGGCTGATGACGAGGTTATCTGGCGCTGGCAGGGTGTGGCTTATGGCTTATGCTAATATTAGAGTTAATTATAATTTGGGACACTTCAGAGCCTTGTATTGCTCCCCAATTCAGAACATTCTTTAGTTCCTTTTGCCCAGGCTGAGCCTACTGGACTCCAATCAATATTTTTTCCATAAGAGGAATCAATATAGATTCTAGCTTTTTCTCCTCTACATCGTTTCCAATATATCCAGTTTTCTAATTCAATAACTTTAGGGAGTTCACATAGGAGGCAGAGATGGTAGAGTATCATAACTTTCACTTCCAGTATCCAGAAACCCATTTGCTGCGAGCAATAACAATGGTTTTTTTTTTTTGCATTTTGGGTCACACCTGGCAATGCTCAGGGGTTACTCCTGGCTCATGCACTCAGGAATTGCTCCTGGCGGTGCTCAGGGGACCATATGGGGTGCTGGGAATCGAACCTGTGTTGGCCATGTTGGCTGCGTGCAAGGCAAACGCCCTACCCGCTGTGCTATTGCTCCAGCCCCAATGTTTTTTTTTTTTAAGCAATGGTTTTTTATTGCTTCAGTAGATTCAGTAGAATTGTGATATTCAGCCATTCAGTATTGCGTGTGTGTTTTTAAGCAATGACTCCCGTTGCTAGTGCAGATAGGCATCCCTTCCACCCTGATAACATATTCAGGAAAATTTGTGCCTTCTTCTTTGGGTTTGATTAGGTCTCTACCATCAGCCTGGCACCAAGTCTGGTGGCACGGCTATGGGGTCCTCATGTTATGTTCCCTTCTGGGAGAAGTAGCCCTGTGATCTGGATGCTGGCTGATGACGAGATTATCTAGCGCTGGCAGGAGGTGGCTTCTGGGAGTGACCCCTGTGTCACTGAAGACTGGGGGAAACAGGCAGAGGATCTCTGCTTCCGGGTCCTGTTGAGCCCAGAATCCAAGCTCACAAAGTTCCACATTACCTGGGTTCCTTGGGACTTCACTCATGCGTGAGACTCAGCCCGAGTGAGAGGGGAGTGGCCAGGAGCATGGTGGTGGTTGGGTTGTGGAGGTCGACTGCCGGGCTGGGTCCCACAGGAGTGGGGGGGGGGGGGGAATGAGAGAGACAGGCCCATCCCCTATCCCTGGAGGCCTGGAGTTTGCTGTCACTGAAACTGCATACCTGCACTTCTCATTGGGTTCTGGATGTTGGTGGCCCCTGGGATTTTTAGGGGGCAGGTGGGACCCTGGAGGTCATGCCCACAAACTGCCTCTGGCTGCTTCTTAAGCTCCTTAATGGTCATGATCCAGAGATACACAAAAGAATTTCTGAACTGAGCAGCTCTCTGCCTTCTCCCCATCCTAATTATCTAAAACTTTAGAATTCCAGGAACACACAGCCACTTTTGTGGCCGAACGGCATTGTACTATTCATAACAAGCAATACAAACGAGAGTATGAGGGAAATTGTCTGCCATAGAGGCAGGGGGAGGGGTGGGATGGGGGCGGGTATACTGGGGACATTGGTGGTGGAAGATGTGCACTGGTGGAGGGTTGGGTGTCCTATCATTGTATGACTGAAACTCAAACAGGGAAGCTTTGTAACTGTATCTCACGGATTCAATGATTTTAAAAAATAAATAAATAAAATTACCATTCTGAAAATAAAGTAATGTGGAGTTCATGCCAAATTCAATTAGCTTAATCAATGGCTGAATAAATACCAGTACCCCTACAAAAAGAGGGAGAGAGAGAGACTGAGAGAGAGAGAGAGAAAGAAATAAACAAGCCTTAAAAAAATTAAGTGAATTAAATGTCAGAAAATCAACTTACAGTTTTTCTAGCTTAAGATTCATCATGAGGATGTTTTGAACTGCTGCAAGTGTCACTTGTGTTGCTCCCATGTCTCTGAGGGAGAAAGCACAAGCATGATGTGAATCCAAATACAGAAGCTCTAGAGTTAAATAGATGAGATAAATGAAGTGATAACTTTGATTCTGGCTTTGCTGTAAATCCAGGTCAACTGTTTGCTGTAGACTATAATTCCAGAGAGCTCTTGCTGATAAAAGACTTTTCTATCATCAAATTAATGACACTTTGGAGAATAAAAAAATTTCCTTCCTTCCTTCCTTCCTTCCTTCCTTCCTTCCTTCCTTCCTTCCTTCCTTCTTTCCTCCCTCCCTCCCTCCTTCCTTCCTTTTCTCCCTCTCTCTCCCCTTCCTTCCCTCCTTCCTTCTCTTCTTCCCTGATTCCCTTCTTCCTTCCTTCCTTCCTTCCTTCCTTCCTTCCTTCCTTCCTTCCTTCCCTCCCTCCCTCCCTCCCTCCCTGCTTCCTTCCTTCCTTTCTTCCTTCCTTTCTTGTCCGACTTCTCATTCTAAATTGTATCTACTCCTTTCAATGATTCTTTTTCATGTGAGCTGCGGGTGGCCTTGGATTTTGGCCACATCTGATAGTACATGGGGGATATGTTGGGCACTGTACTTGTGGGTTACTCTGAGTAGAGATCTGGGGAACACATAAGGGGCCAGAGGTCGAATCCAGGCCTCCAAGCAAGCAGTGCATGGGCTCCAACCACTCACCTATCTGGTCCTCTTTTCTTTACTTTCTTTTTTCAATAATGTGTCCATTATTACTTGTTACTTTCTGAATAAATAATACTTCTACACGTATCTGTATGTTTCTTATCTATATGTACTCAACATAGCTCTTTTCCTCTGTTGGCTGTTGCCCATGTCATTCTTTCTTAATCTTTTCCTTTGAGAATAACTGTCATTTCAATAATCCAGTGTTAAAATTAAAATTATAACTTTTAAATTCAATGCAAAACACTTTATCTTTGACAGAAGTGGAGAAAAATAAAGACAGCAAATCATAGCAGAAACCATATAAGCTACAAACTTATTACAATACTTACAGATATTTTAATGCTGGCAATTTAAAAAGATAGGAATCTTCAATAGCTGTTAGGGGATTATGGCTGAGAATTCTAAAAAAGAATTAAAATTATATGCATAATCAGTATGTAGCATTAAAATTTATATTTAATTTATTGGCATGAAAAGGTAAAGGTAAAGGTAAAGGCCCTCCCGTTGATCATCGATTTGCTCGAGCGGGCCCAGTAACGTCTCCATTGGAGACTTTGTTGTTACTGTGTCTGGCACATCAAATACGTCACGGGGAGCTTGCCAGGCTCTGCCGTGCAGGCGAGATACTCTCGGTAGCTTGCCGGGCTCTCCAAGAGGGGCGGAGGAATCGAACTCGGGTCGGCCATGTTGGCCGCTTATAATCACGCTTAGAATCCATAAAGCATTCTTTTTTTTTCTTTTTGGGTCACACCTGGCGATGCACAGGGGTTACTCGTGGCTCATGCGCTTAGGAATTACCCCTGCTGGTGTTCGGGGGGAACATATGGAATGCTGGGAATTTAACCCGTGTCAGCCGCGTGCAAGGCAAACACCCTACCCGCTGTGGTATTGCCCCAGCCCCAAGAATTCTCCCTTTGAGAAACACCCAAGTCTCTAGATGACAAAGTGAAGGGGAACCGGGGGGGGGGGGAGAGAAAATAAATGTAGAGCAAAGAAAAAATATGCTGACAAATTTTTCCAAGTTGAAAACTCTAGGAATAGGGGCCAAATAGAACAGCAAGTGGGGCACTTGCCTTGCATGCAGCCCACTTGTGTTTCATTCCTGGAACCTTACACAGACCCTGGAACACACCAGGAGTGATCCCTGAACACAGCGTCAGGAGTAAGCGCTGGGCACCACTGGGCATGTCTCCCCATCAACCCCAAAGAAGAAATAAAACCCTAGGAGTGATGATGTCTGCAGAAGTCCTTGCTCTGCAGCAAATATTATTTCTAATGGATGCCTCTACAATTCAAAATGTTTCTTACACCCTGAGAAATTCAAACTACTTCATGACAACACACCCAGCTAAAGATTAAAATAGGGTCAATCCTTGGTTTTGGACAAAGAAGACATGGTCAATGGAAGAGGAGCTGTTAGAAGCTCTCTTCTTACCAGTCATTCCCACAGAGATCTTTGTGCCCTGACCTTTGTCACGCTGTATGTGATCACGGACTCACCTGTCAGTCTCCTGGACTTTCAGCTTCTTGAATGCCAGGGTCACCTGACTGTCACTGGTCTGACAATATCGGGTATTTACTAGACACTTCAGAAATAACATTATGGATATATTGGTCAAATGAACCAGTTCCTGCCCTCCCTCCCTCAGTTCCTCTCTCTTTTCTTTCTTTCTTTGGTTTGTGGGTCACACCCAGGAATGCTCAGGGATTACTCCTGGTGGTGCTTAGGGGACCATATGGAATGCCAGGCATCGAACCTTGGTCAGCCGCCTGCAAAGCACGCACCTTTCCTGCTATATTATCACTCCAGTACCAGAAGCAGTTCATTTTTGACAAAAGATTTTGTTCCAAGATGCTAGAATGAATTTTCTTCTTTTAAAAACATGCAAACTCTTTAAAACAAGCAAAGAAATACACAGGAGGGGAAAAAAACAGAAAGAAATTTTCAGTAAACTCTATTCAAGAAACACTGGCATACCCTTGCAGGATAGATAGATAGATATAGATATACATAGATATATATCCGCCACGCTCCGGGCTCCTTTCCAGATGCTCAGGCCAAGCCTCACGCATGAGTGTAGCCCCACAGAACCAGGTGAGGTGGGACTTTGTGACCTTGGACTCCAGACTCAATGGGGCCCGGAAACAGAGATCCTCTGCCTGCTTCCCCCAATCTCTGGAGACCCAGGGATCATGCCCATAATATCCACCCTGCAGGTGCCAGATAAATACCTCATCTGCTGACCTCCACTACGCAGCTGCCCCCATACTGCAGGCCGCTTTCTGGACAGTGTGGCCACAAAGCGCCATGCAACACAGCATAAGACACTTAATACCCATTTTCCAAAATTACCGCACCACTTTTTATGGGGTTCAAATATGGTGTAAACTATGGGAATGCCTGTAACGGTGATTAGAGGCCTCCCTAAAAGCCTCCATCCCTCTCAGAGAGCCTGGCAAGCTACAGAGAGTATCCCGCCCACACGGCAGAGCCTGGCAAGCTCCTGCCGACCTCACACATGAGTGTAGCCTCACAGAAGCAGGTGAGGTGGGACTTTGTGACCTTGGACTCCAGGCACGTACCCGTGGCATATTTGATATGCCAAAAACAGTAAAAACAATGGGCCTCATTGCCCTGACCTGAAAGAGCCCCCAATACGGCAGTGTTAATAAGGATAAACAAAGAGAGGCTGATAAAATCTCAGGGCCGAACTAGGCTGCCAAAACGAAGGACTAAAATGACTTTACTTTCAACGAACGTACGCTAGCATCCGAAGCACCCATCAAGGACCTGATGGTGCAATCGCAGATTAAGTATGACATCATTAGTCTGACCGAGATGAGAAGGCATCGATCACATCATGCCATTTACAACACTGGAGAAGAACTGTTCCTTGGAACATGTGACAATAGAGGCATCGGTGGTGTTGGTGTCCTGGTCAACATGAACTTGGCCATGAGCATTGATTCATATGAATGCCTAACAACCCAAATCAGACGATTACGCTTGAATAGATGTGGCTCACTGCTGGCAGTTTCCATCTTTGTTGTCTATACACCAATATCCAACTACGATGAAGAAGGTATTGAGAAGTTCTACATGGAGCTGAAGAAGTTCTATAAAGAAGACCACACCTCCTACAAGATCACTGTAGGTTATTTTAATGCCAAGATAGGACTGAGGAGGTTGCCCGAAGAACTCCACATTGGGACCAATGGCCTAGAATGGAACGAACAGGGTGAGAGACGATCTGAGTTCACCTTGTTGACCAAGACCATACATGGTAACTCACAGTTCCAGAAGGCCAAATCTAAACATTGGACATGGGAGTCCCCTGGGGGACAGTTCCACAGTGAAATTGACCACATCATTTTCAATGGACCGTTTTGCCTGACTGATGATGCTGTTGTCCCAAAATTCCAAAACGGATAGGACAACCATCTCCTTCATGCAAAATTCTACTTCACAGAGCAGGGAGAAAAGACTGCAAAGTTTAAGAAGAGAACTTCCAGAATGACCACCAAATGGGAGCTCTTTGGCACTACTGAGGCAACGTAGGAAGATGCCGTCGCTGACATCAACGAGGAATCCAATTGACTGGTTCAGCACCTCCATGACTGCTCACGGAATGCCAAGAGTGGGAAAGTCACAAACAGATGCCTGTCTTAGGAAACTCTCGAGCTCATTTGCCAACGTGGTTTGCAGCAAGCCTCTGGCAATCACAAGCTAATGTCCGAGCTCGCAAAGCTGTGCAGAAAAGCGATAAAGGAAGACCTCAAAGAGAGAAGAGCAATAGTGTTGGCTGATGCGGCAGAAGCTGGGAAAAATATTCGCAACACCTGCCTGTCCTTCGCCAACTATAAGTAAGACCAAGATGACTGCCCTCCGATGTCCTGTTTGATCTATCACATCTTCCAGAAGGGAAATGGAGAAGATTGTTCACGACTTCTACTTGGATCTCTTCGGTAGCCATGTCCAAGTGCCCACATACAAATTCCGCAGGATGGATATGTCGTTCCCAACGTCCTCCTTTCCGAAATCCGACACGCCATTTCGTTGGTAAGAAGTGTACACCACCTGGCCCAGACAAGGTCAGACCCAAACACCTGAAGAATCTGACACCAGTACTGGTCAATACACTGGCTTGGCTCTTCACACTCTACCTATCTGAATGCAAGGTTCCTTCCCAATGGAAAACCAGCAGGACCATTCTGTTGTACAAGAAGGGAGACATCCAGGACATTGGCAACTATCGCCTGATCTGCCTGTTGTCCATCATCTACAAGCTGTCATCCTGAATAGGACTGGCAGAACACTAGAAGATGGACAACCATGCGTGCAAGCCGAGTTCCGAAAGAGATTCAGCGTGATCGACTATATCCACTACGCTCACTGAGATTTCGCAAGAGTTCAAGATGCCAAAGATGCCACTCTGCCTAACGTTCATCGATTTAAAAAAGGTCTTTTATTCGGTTGAGACTGACGTGGTCATCGAAGCCCTAGCCCAACAGAGCAGTCAAACTCAGTACATCAGGATCCTCTGTGGCTGTATTATGGATTCACCACTAGGACCTCACCATTCTACAAGAAAGTGATCATCGATGTTAAGAGAGGGGTTTGGCAGAGCGATACCATTTCACTGAAACTCTTCAGTGCCACCCTCAAGAACGTCATGTGATGACTGGAATGGGAAGGAATGGGAGTAAAGATATACAGTCAGCAACTACACCACCTCTGCTTCGCTGATGACATCGTTCTAATAACAGCAAACATTAACCAAGCATCACAACTGCTGGACGACTTTGACCGTGAGCATGAAAAGGTCAGACTGCAGCTGAACCTCACAATGCCTGGGAGGCTGGAGAGATAGCACAGCGGGTAGGGCACTTGCCTTGCACGCGGCTGACCCGGGTTTGATTCCCAGCATCCCATATGGTCCCCTGAGCACTGCCAGGAGTAACTACTCCTGAGTGCAGAGCCAGGAGTAACCCCTGTGCATTGCCAGGTGTGACCCAAAAAGCAAAAAAAAAAAAAAAAGAAAAGAAAAATAACGACTGCCCGCCCAATATGGGCATTCCTTAAAAAACTAGAAATTGAGCTTCCATATGACCCCAAAATACCACTTCTGGAAATATATTCCAAGGGTACAATAAAGCACAGTAGAAATGACATCTGCACCTATATGTTCATTGCAGCATTGTTCACAATAGCCAGAATCTGGAAACAACCTATGTGCCCGAGAATAGATGACTGGTTAAAGAAACTTTGGTACACCTGCACAATGTAATACTATGCAGCTGTTAGGAAAGATGAAGTCATAAAATTTGCTTGTAAGTGGAAGGTCATGGAGAGTATCATGCTAAGTGAAATGAGTCAGAAAGAGAGGGACAGACATAGAAT